TTTGCCACTGTTAAATTTACAACACATTCAGTTCCTCTTATAGCCCCCAATTGCTCAGTTTCTGAAAAATAAACAAGGTTTGCTTTTCAGAAGGAGAGAAGATGATCAAATCAAGATTTATTCAATAACTAACAAAGGTCCTTTCTGGTTAACATTGATCAGAAGCTGTGTCTTAAATGTATGTCAGAAGTTATTGAAAGCAAGAGTGTAAAAAATTTTGGAGGCAGTCTGAGGCCCAATCTCAAGGCATGGATTTTCCTACACCCTCATCCTTTCATACCTTCACACCTTTGGAAATCTGACTCATGAAACTTTTAGTGCTTAGTTCACAGTCCATCAAAAACAACAGGAATCTAAATATTGGTCTTAATATGGTTTGAGTCAAGCCCTGAAACAGCAAGGAAAAGTGCAGATATTTTCTCTTGTGAGCAGCCCCTCACATAAGGAACAGTATATCTTCAGGTGTGCTCATGCTAGCACCCGGAGCACAGCCCATGCTAAGAGACATTCCCAATTCAGGAAGGTAAATGGAAGAGTGCAAGACCATCCTTCAGGTCTGACAGTCTTGTCAGTAGGATTGATTCAAGTTGCAGACTTTAAAAGACAGCTTCTTCCACCCATATATTAATGCCACTTGTTTCTGAAATCCCACTGACAAAACCCGCTCAGAAATTTTGCAAGGCGAGACTCTAGTGAAGCTGTGATAAGGGTTCGCAGGCCACAGGCACGCTCAGGGGCCATGCCCCTACTCCTCAGCACAAGGGCAGGATCCAGGCGGGAAGAAAGACAGTGCTCCACCAGCACCTCATTCGGCTGTGCCCCAGATGCTGTCCCATGGCAGAACGCAAGGTCATTCCTCAAGCTCTCTGTGCAGGTTACATGCCAGCTGGCAAATGCAGGACTTCAGCCAGCCAAAGCGTATTACCTGCAGCCCCATTGCACACCTCCTGCCAGCCCCTGGCTGGCCCCAGCGTGTGCAGTGCCAAGCGCTGCCGGGCTGCCTGCCTGCCCACCCCACACCTCCAGTCTGCCCTCCCCACCCTGCACCACGGGAAAGCCCTGACGTATCCCAGGCAGGCTCAGCCCTGGGTGGATGGACCACCCAGTCCTGCAAAACACTCCTTTCATCAAGAGCTCTTGGAGGACTACCAATAAGAGTAAAAATAATTATCTCCATTTTCTGGCTGAGGAAATGAAGTTGCAAAGCCAGTGAAGTGACTTACGCAGGTCTCCCACCTCCCAAGCCAGGATCCTGTTCACCAAACAAAAATAGCCCCCTAAGCTCCTTTAATGAAGCTTTTAAAATTATTTCACAGAGTTGGAGAGAACAAGGATTCATCTGATCTACCTTTCCTTTCCAAAGCTGACTCAATACCAAAAGGTGTCATTTTTTTTTAATTATTATTCTTTTGTTGGGCTGCATGAAAGCAGCAACTTGGTGCCCCATAAATAGTCTGGAGGTGTTCTACTGGCCTCACCTATCCTTAATTAAACTTGATAGATTTTATTGAGATCTATTGAGATGAAGTATGTAAAAGAAGTGACATCAACAGAACATAGGAAAACAGCCCTCTCAATACAAAATGTTGACACTCTGGTATGCACCCTTATTTCCAACAATTTTACTGCTACTCTTTGACTACCCAAAACAAGATCTCACCTTCCCTATCTTCCTAGTACACACCCATCTCCACAAATGAGACCCCAGCATCCCTGCCTTCCTCCCCCATCTTTTGCATATTCCCTCTTCAGATTGGACCCACATCATGCCTTTATTCATAATATGTCTCAAACAAATTCACAAACAGATCTAACTTGGCTTTGATAGCAGAGCCATGTAACATTTGAAAGAAACTCAGTGGTTTCCACTTAGTTATGTTTTGAGTTCCTGAGGTTAAAGCAAACCTGAAACTCAAGGTGAAACTTTGCTTAGAGTGAGAGGAAATACATGAGAAGAGGAGGGGGAAAAACCTTTGCTTATATCCCACCATGGTCTGAGAAGCTGCTCTGTAATTCAGAGACCACTGCAACCCCTTTGGAGTTGATGGCCGGTTAGAAGTAAGACGCTAGTTCACAAATATATACATGATAGTACAATTCCTCATAAAAAAAAGTAAGATATCAGTAATGGCACAGAGCGAGCCAGTTCAATGTGAACTAAAGAGATCAGGTCATAGTAAAGAACATATAGAAAAAGAAATATTTTGTAATATAGGAATAGCAGCTAAGACAGCAAAGTTATTTTGTTCTCTACCACAGGTTTTCTGTGTTATTTCAAAAACATTACTTAATTCTTTGGACTCACATCATTCAAAAATGGAGAAAATTGTTATGGCTATTAAAAGGTGCCACATGTTTGCAAAACACTCTGAAATGTTTGGGTGGAGAAGAGAGGAGAACACCTCATTAGAATCACTTAGCTGATCAGTATGAAGCTAGAGACAAATTTGAATTAGATGCACTAACAACTGATTTAATCTGGTTGAAACAAATTGTATTCCCTGTATAAGCAACTACCACACCAAAAACCTAGCTATGAAAGGTAAGAAGCAAAAACACAGCAGAGTTTCAAAATCATAAAACTGATTGACTGGATTGGGACTGAAAAAATATACTTATCTCTTTGGTTAAATAAGAACCCCATCCAATAGAGAGGAGAAAGGGATAAGAGGGGGAGAAGTGGAGATATATCACCATTTTCTGATTAACTGAAAGTTAGGGTTTTTTAGGCATTCCATAAAGTTGTATCCACGACAGCTTCAGTGACCATCCTTTCAAAATGAGCTCAGTGCAGTGCTGTCCTAATCCATGGCAGCTAGCACAGATTTTTTAAGCAGCAAGCTTATCTTCACCCCTCTTTTGAGTTTCACCCACCAAGACGTAGCTCACTTCAGACAGCAGAGTTATCACCATTGCTTTGTCTCCAATTCTATAGCAAGGCTTTACTCAAGCTGTTACACTCTAAAACCCACAACTGATTTAATAGCAAAGTAGTACTCCAAGGAGCTCAGGCCCCCAGTTCAGTGGCCTATGTTATTCCCAGGCCTACCAGTCTTAAACTCTGTTGATTACCAGAATGACTTTTAATCAGTACAGCTATATGGGAACAAGCCATAGCATGAAAAGAAGAAAAAAACGATGACACACATGTAAATAGTTATTTCCTTCCACTGTCAGGAATAGCATTTAATAGATGCACTAGTAAGTGCATCCCTACTGGAGCAAAACAGGCTAGGAATGTATCACTTGAATGACATAAGTATGAGTAAGCTATCAAACTTTTTGCTGTAGAAAAGGCCTTTGGATTGAATCAACAAATGTGTTTTCAAACCCAGAAACTAACTTAGCAGCTTCAGCCTGTTTCCAATAACTCCCAAGTAACATCTGCTATAAAATTCAGGAAATACGTGTATTAACTGATTCAAAACAAACTACATTGAACAGTCTGTAGAGATCACAGCAGTTTTGCTTAGCATATGGAGAAGCTGTTGGCTCGTATTTGAAAGGAATAAAAGCCATAGCTGCTCAACAAGTAAACTGTTCATATTCGGTAGTTACATGAGCAGCAGAACTACAACAGCCTTGCTCTCTCACATCACAGTCCCTTCTGAATTTCACACGTGCAGAAGGGGATAACCCCCACCAAAAGCCCTTTCTTCAGCATGGGCTCTAAAAACATTTTCACAAAGCTCAGAGAAACTTTATACTTTTAGACCTTTCCTTCCTTGGTCAAATCTGGTGAAATTCACAAACTAATTGATAAAGTTACAAGAGAGGAACAGACAAGGGAGAGCCACAGGGATGCTTTCTTAAAGATGCCAGGCAGAAGCATGGACGGGGGGAGAACACAGTTTCAGAAGCAAAAAAGTTGTATCAGTCTAAATGTAATGACATGTTTAATTTTCTAGGAATGTTAATCAGAAAGCATGCAGGATACACTTCATCAAAATCAAACAAAACGTCAGCAACTGCATTTATTTTAGGCACTATCTCTGCTGCAACTAGAGTGACTATCATCTTTGTGCTTTCTTGCACTTCATACTTACTCCTTTTTATTTTTGTTTTCACATTCCTGTTGTTGTTATTAAAAATATAAATATACCCCACATTTTTAACCCTGGCTTTCTTAAAGATGCCAGGCAGAAGCATGGACGGGGGGAGAACACAGTTTCAGAAGCAAAAAAGTTGTATCAGTCTAAATGTAATGACATGTTTAATTTTCTAGGAATGTTAATCAGAAAGCATGCAGGATACACTTCATCAAAATCAAACAAAACGTCAGCAACTGCATTTATTTTAGGCACTATCTCTGCTGCAACTAGAGTGACTATCATCTTTGTGCTTTCTTGCACTTCATACTTACTCCTTTTTATTTTTGTTTTCACATTCCTGTTGTTGTTATTAAAAATATAAATATACCCCACATTTTTAACCCTGGGGCTACAAAACATGGTAGTTAAGTAGCCTGCTCATACATCACAGCCAACCCTCAGCCAGCTCTAGTATAACCAGGTTTTTGCTAAAATTCTCAGCACAATCTACCATCCTCTGAGTTGCACTAAGCCCCATCTCTGTAGTAAGAACGGGTTGTTATGCCCTACTGAATAAGCCCTGGAACCCAGCACATACTTAGTCAGTGTATATTTATGCTTGAATTCACATCAGCAGAAACAGTGAGTACAAAAGGCCATGCATTATGGGGAAAAAAAACCCACAAATACTACAGGTGCCTAGAAAAGTCACATATGAAAACTGAACTCATTAAAAATGAGTTACAAAAAGGATACAATTCTAGTACTTATTTGCCTGGTACTTCTAAGCCCTTGATGATGCATTCAAGTGCCATTCCTCCACTCTTTCCATAAGAATGGAAACTACATCTACTTATTTCTCAAATAAAAGGTTAAATATCTTACCTATTCTGTGTGAAGACACAGGTTGCTGGAAATTTAAGGAATTGAAATTCTTCCAAAAGGGACTGAGGAGTCAGTAAACACTACCTGTGTTCCAGCTGAACTTTGAAAGTGAACATTGGAAGTCTTATCAGAGTCTCAGCTGACATCAGACAGCCCATAAACACACTGCATAATTACAAAGAATTTTATCTTGAAGGCCGAAGACAAATGCAAAACTGTCACCTTGACTCCGCTGTAAAACTGCCAAAAGGAAATATTGCTATTAAATTGACATAGCAAAAAAGACTCCCATATGGGCTTGAGTGTGCTTGAACTTCCCTGCCCACTCTTGGCACTGCCAACTTGCAGGTACCGTCCATGTAGAACCCAGTGCAATCCACCGTACCTGACTTGACAGCTATTTCAACCAGAGATTCAGGACACCCTCATCATAGACAACCACAGAATAATCTACCTCTGGAAAAGTTTCTTCCTAGCTTCACCAAAAAGTAGCTGTTTATTGACCCAAGTCCAAGAATTTTCCTCCCTCCGATATGTTATAGAAGCCTATGGCGCTAAAATCTTAGCAAGAATGCCATACGTTGTCCGTGAACTGTGTATCAAGAGCATACATTATCTTAGATTACTGTGAAATTTTCATTTACTTGGGATGTGAAGTCTGCTTTTTCTTGTGTTTTGGAACACAAGAGAATAATTTTATTTTTTTAGTTCAGTACTTTGGTACCACTTTTAAGTTCATGAATCTCTTACATGTTAGAGCTAAAAGAAAAGTCGCAAAACTTCTGTGGGAAACTCTCAGCACTCTGCACCCTGTGTGACAGGTCAATCACTCACAATGGTCCCTCTTGGCTGTAAAAAATATAAATACCTTTAACAGGAGAAATAGAATCTAAACAGCAAAAAAAAGAGTGCAAGTGCTTTTACATCACAATTCTCCACTTACCTACATAGAAATGCCATTAGATTTGGGTTGCTACCACAGATTATGCTCTCAAACCTAATATCCTTCACATGGCTGTAAAATAGCTGGCATAACTTACTGCACATATTTTCAGCTATAGGTCATTTTTTATTGCCAAAATGCTAACAAAGTTCTTCACAGGGGACAGGATTTTACCCCGAGCTAGATGGTTTCCTAGTTTCAGGAAAGTCAGTTTATCAGGAGAGCACAATGTCTTGTCTCCACTGATCTATCTACACGATTAGGGACTACGTTGGACTATGGCATCTGTTTTAGAAAAAAACTACGTAGCCTACACATCAGCTTCTGGGTCTTGTGCATGCTCAAGAGTGAAATAAGATGTATGTGTATATACATTAAGTATGCATGCAAATACAGCACTATATTCAAGATGTAAACAGCTCTTGCACACTGATCCAGGTACCGATGAATTCTGCATAACTGAAACCTTTCATACCACAAAATTGCAGCATTGCCTATAAATACACTCAGCACTTGTTGCTGACAAACAAAAAATCCCTCTAGTCGAGACAGCCCTCTTACATGAACAAATCATCATATGACTGGAAAAGGCAGAAAAAAAAGAGCTGTGCTTTGGACTATTCTTTTCAGCATAGACAGCCAGGAGCTATGCTGTGTTGACTGGGGTCACTGCTGGCATGATGCGTGGCTGTGGCTGATGTTCCACAGAGAAGAAGGTGGCAGTGGACAGGTTTGGCAGTTGAAGGAACCTAAAAGTAGACTACGTCCGCGAAAATGGAAAGCACTGTAAATATTCCTAGGGCAGGGACGCTCTGAGTGCTTGTCAGGGAAACAAGGGTGGCATCACCATGGGGGAGAGGCCCCAGGGAAGAGAGAAAGGGATGGAACTGCACTTCACTTTTTTAAACAGGCGGCCTGCTACTCTCGGCTTTTGTCTCCTCTTGCATCGGCTATGTACTAATTCAGCTTATTTAGAAAAAGAGGGGAGAAAAATATCTTTCCCTTCACCCCCGGTTTCAGAATTATTGCGTCTCCTGGGGGGAAGGGTTAGACTGAGACATTTGGTTTGGAAATGACTCACTCGGCAGTGCTACAGAGCCGGAGGGTCTATTTTTAATATTTTTAAATGGAGAACTTACCCAGGTTTTATGCCTGCGCTTTGCTTCAGAGGCAC